TTGGTCTGAGGCCAGATTTGAACTCAGGTCCTCCTGACTTCAGGGCCGGTGTTCTATCCACTGCGCCACCTAGCTGCCCCAAAAAGCCTTTTAAATGGCTCTTTTCAGTTAACACTTTGGTGGTCTGAAGAACCATGATTTCATGAGGGTGGGTTATGCCTTCCACTGTTGTGAATCACAAACCCTCTTTGACTTAGCAGATGAGGTTTGAGAGTTGTTAAGGTTGAGAAATTCATATCCTTACAGCCAAGTTGGTAACAAGCCTTAGTAAACACCAAACTTTTATACTGGTACCTGATTCGGGTTCATCTTCTATCTCTGGAAGTGTTCTTTCCACTACACCATTCAACAGATGTTCTAGGGCGGTGCCTGAAAGATGAACTTGGAGCATATGTCTGGGGGTGGGGAGGAGGGGAGAGGAGATGAGGTTGTATCATAATGGGAAAAACTGTTGTGTGGTTATTCAATTAAATACCCAAGATCTCCAAGTTAGTGACCACCTATTGAACTTTTTGGACAATTTCGTTTTTAGAATTTTCAGGATTCCTTGCCAAATAGTGGACAGTTACCAGCCATGAGAATATATTGCTGGTTTTCTTTGCCTCTCAGCTTTTCCAGACTCTCAAACCAGCAAAATTCCTTATTAAACCTGATCACTCCCAACTATCTGGTATGAACCACTGCCAGGGCTTATGGACATCTTCAAAGGGCTTTTTAAAATTGCAGGGTGGATTTGTTTTCCCTGGGAGTTAGCTGTGTAGCATTCTTCCTGAAAGGGGTGTGATCTTTTCTTGACTGCAAACAACACAGCTAATAAAAGATTTGAGTCTACTCAAGTCCACATGGATTTCCGAATTCTAAAAGAGGAAAAATTAATCTCTTCTTTTAACAAACTGAATTAAAATGAAATAGTAGCCCTAAGATATCCTGGTATTCTCCCAGGCTATCAGTTTAATATATCATGTTGACTTCATAACCGTTTGGCAAAGGCTACATAGAGTAGTGACATTACAGAGTATGGGTACTATCTCTTCTGATTTTCAATGGTTTATGAAAGAAGTAAAGGTGCTATAGACATACTCCAATGTTAATCAAACCCAGAAGTCAATAAAAGGCAATCATCATTCCCTTCAAAGGCTTCCCCTGAAATACAGAAACCCTTGAACTGGATTAGTATTTCCATTTAGAAATGGCTTTAAATGTCTAATAGAAGTAGTGGCTCCTTCCAAAATTACTCTGTATTTGCTTTGTGAAAGGGATGTGTGTGTGTGTGTGTGTGTGTGTGTGTGTGTGTGTGTACATTCACTTTAGGGATGTCTGGATAAATATATTGATGTACCTCAAGAATGGCATAGATAGCTGCATGACCCTGGGAAAGTCACTTAACCCCGATTGCCTCACCAAAAAGAAAAAAAAAAGATGGCATAGATACCTACAATATGGGATGTGGTCCACCAGCAACATCATAAGCCTATCTAAGGAGAGGAGCAGGCTGAATAAAAGGCCACCAAGGCTGGCCAATCTCGCCTACCTCCAAGATAGGAGGCATGTCTAGGTTAGACCTATCTATCTACCATGGCTCAAACATCTCTGGTCCAGGGGGTATGAGTCTAAATAGTGTGGAACAAAAGCCACTTTCCTGGCTGCTCTCAATGTAGCCTTTAGTTTACACTTGCCAGCTTAGTCCCTTCCCACCAAACAATGGTTATATAAAAGACCATCAGTCCTCTCTGACAAGCCTCTTCACCAAATAAAGCAGCAAACAGACTAGGACACACCAAAGAACACACAAGAGTAAATGACATTGTCAGCTGACAGCAAAATAATCAGCTCAAACCGGGGAAAGAATCATTGCACCAACTTCATTCAGCAGCCTCTAGGGCTGTCAGTTTGGGAAATTAACGAACATGATGGGGGTGAGAGCTTCCCCTACATGTGTGTGGGTCTGAGGCTCCAGCCTGCCATTCAAGTCAGATAAGTCGTTGTTAAGCGTTCTCTCTCTCTGCCTCTATATGTCTCTGTGTCTCTATCTGTCTTTACATCTCCGTCTATCTCTCTGTCTCTATCTCTCTGTCTCTCTGTCTGTCTCTGTCTTTGTCTCTCTCTCTGTCTCCTTCAATGTCAGCTCTCAAAATGTATCCACCAGACTGAAGTCTCTTCTCCACTCACACTGCTTTGTGGGTCGACGTTCTAATCGACATCATCTGACACATACAAAATACAAGGCCTTCAGAGCACCCTCAGAAAATCTGCCCCAGGCTTGGGCTGAAGCAAGAAGCAAGGTGACTTTTGTATATTTTTTGTACACACGCCCTCCCCTACCATATGCAATCTGTAGCCATGTCCTGTCCTTTCCACATCTCTTCTCTACACCTCCTTATCTCCTCTGACACTGCCACCACCCTCATCATCTCATGCCTGAACTACTTCGATAACCTGCTGATTAGCTTTCTGGCTTCAACTCTCCCTGTTCTAGTCAACCCTGCACTATCTTCCTAAAAAGCAAGTCTGACCATGTCACCTCCCATTTGAAAATCTCCATTGGTACCTCTAGGATAAAATCTAAAATCTTCTGTTTGGCATTCAAAGCCCTTCATAACCTAGACCCTCCGTACCTTTTCAGTTTTCTTACGTTTTACTCCCTACCTCCCCATGTACTCTATGGCTCAGTGAACACTGACTTCTTTGCTGTTCTGCATGCAATTATTCTCCATTCCTCTGCTCTGTCTTGTCGCTTCCCTGGCTTCCTTCTAGGTGCAGCTAAAGTCCCACCTTCTGCATTCCCTCTGAAATTATTGTCAATTTATCATGTGTGTATATATGTATATATATGTATATCATGTATACATCTTTTTTTATAGTCATTTGCATGTTGTCTCTCTCATTAGATTGTGACTCCCTTGACAGCAGAAGCTTTTTGCCTTTCTTTGTATCCCCAGTGCTTAATATAGTGCCTGCCACATAAGAGCCATTAATGAATGCTTGTTGACTTGGCTTGACTGAATAGCTCTTTTCATGATTTTGCACACTTATTTAACAAGCCCTAACACTAAAATGCAGTAATAAGTGATAAATTATTTCTAATTAATAATACATAAATAATTCATTCTTTCAAACTATGATAACTATGTTGAGATCCAGTATTCAGATTTTGATTTGTATGACAGATTTGAAAAATATATAGCAAAAGTTTGGGGACAGAGAAGTTGACATGCTGATAAATAGCTCTAGATCAGAGGTTCCCAAATTTATTTGGTCTACTGCCCCTCTTCCAAAATAAAATTTCTCAGTGCCTCCATGGAAATTTACTTTCTTTAACCTTTAAATGAATTTTTTTTTTGAAATTTGCATCATATCAAAAAATATATAATTTTTTTTAAAATGACATCTTAAATTTAATAATTTATTGCAAATTTGTAGCTTTTTTATGGCATTGAGATTTTGATGATGCAATATTGCATCATGTAACTGTATAGAATCATATTGTACATTAGTCATTACACACATCCATTCCTGCCAATGCATGCTGGACTTCCAAACAATGCGACATGCTCACCTGCTAACACTTGCTTGTTAAGACCTGTTGGTGGACTTGAGCACTGATTCGTTATAACTTATATTTTGTGTGTTTATTTGGAAAATAATGTAATCAGTATGACTTTAACTCTGTTACACAACAGATGAAGCATGTACAAACGGTTTTTCAAAATTTCCTTCTCTCCTCTTCTTTCCTTATGTTTTCATTGTCCCCTTATTTTTATTCAAAGCCTGCCCCCCTGCAATTGCACTTGAGGCTACTGTTGCTCCCCCTGGATTGTCCCAGCATCCGCAGGGAGTGATATCTCCCAGTTTGGGAACCTATACCTAAATAATCTGGGCTTCAGACTTCTTTTCCCAGAGTCGGAAATAAAGTGGAACACCTTTATGGTGTCAATGTTGGGAAAAGGGCAATTCTTCAGTGTTTCAACGGGTCTGTCATCACAATGTAGATACAACCTCCAGCAAGGCAGATTATAATCCATCCATTACTGCCTATTTTGCACATCTCTTGTCAGTGTCATCCAGTAATCCACCCCAGGAGGTCCACCCAGTATAGTGGTGGCCTCTGTTTGGATTTTTTGACATTCACAACTAGAAGAGTGGGACAAAATTAGGTACAATACCTTGCACTAAGCATGTAGTCAATATACAATAAATAATTATTGATTCCTCCTTGTTTCCCCCGGTGTCTCATACTTGGTCATTGGTGCCAAAATGCTTGGTCTTAAATGTTGATAGCACATCATAGCATTTTGGTTTAGCAAACAAGGTGCCATGAAATTGAGCAGATTACCATTTGAGAAAACTCCATAACTTAAAAAAAAAAAAAGGAGAAAAGGCAAAATGGAATGGTTAAATGAATAAATGAATAGCCTCATTAATATGATTTTAAAGAACAGAAATAAGTTTAACAATAACAACAAAGGACTCCTGGTCTTAGCCAAAACAAATAATTTTACTTTTTTTAAAAAATTCAAACTAATATTTCCTCTAGGGTGTTATCTCTCTTCAAAAGGTTCCTGCTTTTCAGTGACTTGTAATTTTTCCTGCTAAGAGAGCTCAATACACAAAGCACTCACCTGTGCTCCCTACCTAGACTTAATTCTGGGACTGCCCTCAAAAGAAGGCTCTAAACTGAGAGGGAACTGAAAAGCATGCTCGTATTCCCATATTGAATTCTATGTTGAATAAATCCCTTATCACAATGAATGGTGGATCAATATTTAATTTTTTTTTTAATTCTGAAAAATCTCATCACACCAAAATCCTAGTGTTAAAAATGAAAAGGCATTTGATGGTTCCTATTCTCAGCCCATGACCAATTCTATTTTTCTTTCATCATCAAAAGGTATGGGCAATTTAGCCATGGAGTGATTTTGATGGCACAAAATGCTATAAGAATTACTCAGTGGGAATATAACCATGTTAAAAAAAAATAAACATTTTATTGATAACTTTTATTGCCTACATATCCCAGTGTATCTTTCCCAGAGATCCATCCCCTGTAACAAAGAACAAAAAAAGAGGGAAAAAAAATCAGTCCAACAAAATCTACCAACACATTAAAAAATTTTGGTGCTATTCATAGTGTTCGACATTCACAGTCCCCTAATTCTATAAATATGTACTTCTCAGATCTCTTCTTTCGGGCCATATTTGAATCCACAGCTTCTAGTTTCAACTACTTTGTGGTTTTTCTTTTCATTTACATTGTTTTAGACATAGTATATACTTTCCTGATTTCTTCTTACATCAGTTTGCATCAGTTCATATAAGTTTTCTCATGCTTGTCAGTAATCATCACGTTCTTTGTTTCTTACAGCACAGTACTATTGTATTGCATTCACGTACCAAAACTTGGTTAGCCATTCCCCAATCCATGGACAGATACTTTTTTTGTTTCCACTTCTTTGCTACTACAAAAAGTGTTGCTATAAAGTCTTTTTAAATCATTACCCTTCTTGGAGTACATATCTAACAATAGAATCTCTAGGTCAAAGAGTATGAATAAACATTAGCTATTATTAATGGTTTGCACATTACACAACAGACTGGAACAGTGCTTTAATATCTTTCATTATTGAACAGAGTTCAACATAAAGGTCTGACTTGAATACTGCCAAAGAGTTCTAGGATTAGAGACCTGGAGCTGAAATAGATCTCATAGGCCAGTCCCTCTCATTTTACCAATGTAGAAACTGAAACCCAAGGAGGTTAAGTGACTTGACCAAAGCCACACAGATAGTAAATGTCAGAGGAGAGATCTGAATCCAAGTCCTCTGGTCTCAGAATCTGGAGTGGACTTTCCATTCAGTTACTAAAATAGCTAAAAAGTCTTGTTAGGCATCCTTATCCATAAAGCTGCTACATGTCATGAGCTCCAAATTGCATCATAGTGAGATTTCAGTGTACTTATAGCATATAGTTTGACAAGTTAAAATATTCATTTAATGCGTTCTCTGATTAACTGTTGGTCTTGTCACTGGAACAGCAACAACAAAAAAAACCCCTAAATGAATCAAAAATAAGAAAAACACATACATTTGCCCACCAAATCCCAAATATCATAATAGTGAAAGAGAGCAGCCTTCCCCAAAAAGAAGAATGCCCTCAGAAGGGTCCTCAGTATGTCTGACTTCTTAAATAGCCAACTTCATAGCAGGTAACACTTTAATTTTTAAACTATTTTCCCCAAATGGCATATGTGCCAGCTTCCCCAGGAAAACTCTGTACGCTATTGCACATGACAGGTTAACACAGGATCCACTTTAGATTCAGTCAAAGGGCCAAACTTGAGGACCCAGAGCGCCCTACCCCCCTCCTCCCAGACTAACACTATTTGGCGGTGGTAGTTGCTGCTTTCTCCTGTTCCCAGATGCCTTAACCTCCTTCCTACTTAACACCCTGTTCCCTCTTATCACCTCTCTGACTTCTCTTGGCTCTTATAGGCAAAACAAAGAAAAAAAGTGTTCATAACTTTTCTGAAGTCATGGAAAGCCTGCTGCCCCTTTTAATAGGTGATATATAGAGCACTGAGGAGAAAAATATATCAACCATTGAATTAACTCCATGGCCACAAAATCCCAATTGGGTACCTATTATGGGGGATCAAAGTGCAAGAGTTTGAAACAATTGATGGAATAGCCTTTTCCTGTAATTTAGTAGAATTGGAATGAAAAAGACATAAGCAAAGAAGATGTTCTTTCTAGAGGCAAATATAAGTTCTTTGCTTATAGATTGGCAATATTTGCACTCATCTAGCTTTACAGGAAGTTATTACTTTCCATTAGAAAGGAAGAAATTATGTACTTAGGGCTGAAGACAGAGCTTGAGAGTTAAGATTTCATACCCTGGTTTTCTTTCCGTGGAAAAAAAAAGGGGGGCCCACTTTAACCAGCTGAGCCAAAGATTCCATGACTTCCTTTCTTTGTTTTAAGTAGTTTCCTCTCCGACCTAACCCACCCAAACTTACCAGGGTAGGAAGAAGATGAGCCAGGAGAAGAAGGATGAAGTAGTGAAAGAGCTAAAGGGCAAAGAATGAGCTTTTAGGGAGACAGGAGGAGAATCAAGATCTCAGAAGCTAATGTCCTTGAAGATTTGAAGTAGGAAGTTAATTATTTTTGTGTTAGCCAATACTAATACCTACAGTTAAGGAAATAAAACAGTCCAATTTCTAATTCCAGCAAGCATTTGAATATCTAGCGATTCCAGAGAAAATTACCCTTATTTCTCTCAGTGCCCTGTGATGAGTTTTTGCTGATCAGTAACAATAATAATAATTACTCACATTTTACAGAACTTGAAAGATCTAAAAGCATTTTCCTTACACCAATCTTGTAAGTAGATAGATAGTATTATCATCCTCTTTTTATAGATGAGGGAACTGAGGCTCTGAAGCTAAAATTCCAAATAGTTTGACCTGATTGGCTATTTAGCTGGCTGACTCTATTTCCCACGCAGCAACCCTACTCAAAACACTAATTGAATTGATAATTAATTTATGAAATGGGGCAGGCATGCCCAGTTTTTTGTGTATTCACCAGGAAAGAGCACGATGGCAATGGAGAGTGATGCTGCAATCACATTTTAATAAGGCACAGAGGGCACAGGGGGAAATGACACAGAAAGTAGAGACAAATGGTGAAAGGGATATAGAGGCAGTCAGCATGGGGACAGAAGATGGAGTGGTGAGGGAAGGCGGGCAGTCATGGGGAAAAGATTGAGAGGGGGAGAGACACAAAAAGTAACTCACAAAACAATGGATCCTAGACAACATGGACCCAATGGAGATTAAAGAGGGGTCTGGTTGGGGAAAGGAAGCAGGAGTTTGAGGTCTCATTTTATAGGGTTTTGAGGGGGGGACAACAAACTAACTCTTATCCCATACCACCTTGAAATTAGTTCCTTAACCTTTCCAAATCATTTCAAAGTTGTCAGTAAAACTTGGAAGTTAATACGGCCACATCATCTCAAAACCATCAGTACTATTTGGTGATCTGCTGGTCTTTATTGAAGAGGGCTGGTATTAGTCTAAGACATATATGTACATATACCCATACATATATACACACACACATACACATACATCTACACACACATATACATACATATACATATACACACACATACATCTACACACATATACATACATATACATATATACATGCATGTGTATATATGCCTACATATACATACATACATACATACATACATACATACATATATATACATATATATATATGAATGGGACCAAAGGGCCCTGACGGCAAAGCCTAGGTGGCATCCCCTAGTTTAGATCATATGACTAGGATGTGATTTTGGATGGTACAATTTGTAAATTATGCTCCTTTGATCTTTGGGACCCTTTGTGTATGACTTCCAGGTTCCCCTTTGCAATCCTGCTTCCTGTTCTTGCCATCTTATATTGGCTACTTATAGTCTTACTATGTGGACTAGAAGTGGGGGAGGAGAGCAATGGTCAGGGAGACCAGAGCAAGATACAATTTTAATATTAGCTCTGAGATATTAAATTATTCAACTATGGTCAAAGGAGCATAGAATTTTAGATGCCATCTAATTCAACCCCCAGATTTCACAAATTAAGAAACTGAGGCCCAAGTTGACAAAGAGACTTGATTGACTAAGGCCACAGGGTAGTAAGCATCGACGATGACTTATGAAGCCTGGTCCTCTGACTTCAGCAAGACAGAGACAGTGCTCTTTCTGCTGTACTATGCACAAAAAGCAGGTGTCTAAGAAGGTAGTCACAGGATTGCAGGATGATAGATTTAAAGGTAACAGAGTCTGAGTCTCAGAGAGGTTAAGTGACTTGTCCAGGGTCACAAAGCTAGTGTCAAAGATAGGAAGAGATATGAACCCAGGTCTTCCTGACTCCAGGTCCAGCATTCTACCCATTAAGCCATTTCCTAATCCCAAGGGGCCCCTTTCTCTCACACTACATCGCCTCTTCCATGATACACCACCTCCTACCAAAGGAGTGATAATTTGCTCTTTGTCAGAATTCAGTGTGGGAAATCAAGTTGAGTGAAATTGTACTGTTTTTATATCTTTTGTCCTAGAAAATTATTTTTCAGGAGTTCATATCAACAGACAGAATGGTTGACTCAGTTCTGACAGATTGGCCTCAGATTGGGTCAGAGAGGAAGCCGCTTAGAACAAACAGAGGAAGTCATGAAATCACGGGTACTATTGCCTAAGGCTCCTACTGAGCTGCTCTGTTCATTAAGTGAAGCAGGCATTGAATAAAATGACTGTGCAAGAAACGAATCTCAGAAGAGCACAGAAGAATCCATCTAATCTCAAATCTGATGGGAAAAGAATAATATCCCAAAGCTACACTGAATATGCGAATATGAATATGCAAATATGAAAGGAGAAATCCCAAATCTGCTACGAGGTACATATGGCATCAGAACAACCAAAAAGGAAAGAAAATTGCTAGTTCACATGATCTTTTCCTGCGTGGGAACTTGGAGTCTTCAGATTATTCCACACATTCTGGGTGGCAGTGGGTATTTTCAGATAGCTGTCTCAAAAAGCTAGATCTCTTAAATTCTTGTAAAGCGAAATAAAAATCTGGATTTGATTTTGGTTACGATGTGCATTTTAATGATCCACAAGTGAACCAGAAACGACATTCTGAACTTGCCTGATCAACAAGCGCCCCCCCCTTTTTTTCCTTCATTTAAAATAGTCCCATGAGACTGAATGCCCATCTTCCAATAAAATCTTTGTGAAATTTGAGGTGGTATGTTTTTTTTTCTTCTGCCTAGATTGTCAGCGGATTTGTCTCCACAACAAGCAAAACTTTTAGTCCAGGCTACTGAAGGAATGCTATCAGATATCCACCTTCTCTAACCCCTAGCGTGTGCTAGGCTTTGCCAAACTGGTCTATGTTTGGATTTATGGGTAACATTTAATATTAAAACAACACACTTCATTTCTATGGGAGATTGACTTTTGCTCTGTCCCTTTTCTGCGTATTTACATGTCTGTAAAGCAGAAGGATTATGTTTCCCCAGGGGACATATCTGCCCTCTTGGTGAAAGAGCTGGAAGTTCTCCTGGCGTTCCTGAAGTCTCTATTTTGAGACTCTATTATTCATAATTTATATATGTCACTGTCTTTGTGCCAGAAACACTGGAGCATTATTGAGTTACAGTTTTCCAATGATGACACATAGATCTATTTATCAGTTACCTTCATGAACCTAGGGAGACCATCTACATTTTGGCAAATTATCTGATTAGTCAGATATGAAGAAAATTTCAGATAAGTTTTTTACTTTCTCCTATAAAAATTAAACCACACAGAGACTCGTAAGCCCAAAGAATTATGTTCACAAGCATATTCAATGGATAATTCATTGAATCCAGGGTCAATGCCTCCAAGTGGCATGCTTACGGTATCATTGGTTATAAGCATATGATTCAAGTTCCCATCCAGCGTATTCTCTACTAATGGTCCAGGAACCATAAATAAAATGGCAAAACTTTTAATTAGGAAAGAATAGCTAAGTAAATAACAAGGGGGAATCTCCCATATACAAAGTATGACTGTTTCCCACTTATCACCATGCCAAGCACTGTCCTGGATAATTTCCACTCCTTCTGGGGTTGTGTCCTAGCTGGAATGCCTCTCCTGTCTCCATCTCCCAGTAACTGGCTGTGCTTCATTCCACTTTTCCGGTGATCACTGGTTTCCATGCCTAATGTGGCCACTTACTATTTCTTTGCAGAGCTGCTGCTGTCATCTGCTTCGAGGCGTCTTGTCCATTGAGGGGCTGTCAGGTGCTAAAGCTATCTTTGGCTTTTAGGACAGTGCTTCTGACTTTCTGCGTGGCTCAGACTCTTTGGTCATCTAGTGAAGTCTCTATATTCCTGAGAGCTGTTTTTCAGTGCATAAAATAAAATGCACAAAGTTATAAAGAATAAAGATGTAATTTTTTTCCCCATTCAAGTTCACAGACAGCCCCCAGCCCCAACCAAAATCTAGTTTGAGATATCCCATTTCTAGGACTTCTTCCTCAAAGAGAGTTTTTTTTTTAAGATTACTCTATGCCAATTTCAATTTCAATTTTTGGGTGTGAGGAGGGTGGGGTTCACATCCATACCAGTACCCAACAGTCACAGAAGAGATCATCTCAGATCGAGATTTATTTTTATTTTTATTTTTACCAATTCTAACTTGTTCCTTGGCCTCAGTGGGAAATCCCCCCAAGATTCATTTAATATTTCAGTTGGGATGAAAGAATTCCTTTTAGGTCCCATCACATTCTGGCAGCTAGTACCAGGGTCATGCAAATTACTCTAGAGCTCCAACAGGTTCCAAAAGGAACTCAACAACCCTAAAGGGGTAGGCAGACTTGGCTATTTTTGCTTTGCATTCCTGCAGGTATACCCAGGTCACTGTCCCCCTTATACTATGAATAATCATTTAAAAATTTTTTTTAAACTCAGTGAATCATTCGTTTTTATCTTAATTATAAGTTCTACAAAATTATTTTACCAGTATTTTAGTAATTTGTGACAAAAAAAAAAGAAAAATTTTCCTTTTCCAATTACAGATACTTTGATTAAAGCTGTGTCTACAGTATGCTTACCATTTGGATGGAAAGGAAACACTTAGCTATGGAAAGGAAACACTTAGCTATGTCTTTGAGATATTTCCAAATATCTGGATGCTTGGCATCCTGAAGACATTTCTGGATAGCTGGCTACATTTTTCAGGTTTTACCTTTATCTTTGACGTTGGCTGGATAAAATTTAACTCTCCTTATTTGCCCTCAATCTTTCTCCCACCCTGAAAGAAGTGAATGAAGATGAAATGAATCATCAGTGCTGATTCTAACTCATCTTTTTGCTTCAATTTGATTTTTAAATGTTTTAAATTCCAAAACTGCATTTGTTCTTATTCTGTAGGTAATGTTGTATGTTGTTGTTTAGAACAGCCCCAAAAGATTTCAGGTTAAAAAATAATAAGCAAAGAGAAGGGGAAGGAGAAAAATTTGGAACTCAAAAACTTGTAAAAAGAATGCTAAATTTTTTAATATATAATTGTGGGGGGAAATAAAATACTATCTAAAGCAAAAAAAAAATAAGCAAATAATTTTCTTTCTGATGACTTCTGGGAGTTCATCTTGCAATCTTCACTCGTCCTTCCATCTCACTCTGCCTGCCTTTGGGCAGACCATCTAGCTAACCTTACTTGTCATTTTGACCAGAGGTTTACTGAAAAGGGCTTCACGATTTAGCATCTTGTATGCTAAGTCGGGCTGAATCCAATTACTATTGAAAGAAAATTCCAGAGACCTTCTAAGAGTTGCTTTGTGTCTTTGGGAATCCCAAAAGTTGTCACAAAAGAACTTAACAATATTATATATTTAGAGATTTGGTTTTCTCCTAAGTAAAAAATTTTGCAAAGCAAGCTTTAGATTTAAAGAATGATGAGATGCCTTCATTTAGACATAACAAAAAGTGTTTTGTTAATGCTGCTAAATCTTGTGGAGAAGCAAGCGCTAATCTTAGGCTAAAGAATAGTTAAAAATATTTTGTGGTGTGGAATAATCAGATCATGAAAATATTTAAAGATTCCAGTTGCATATTTCTCAGATCAAAATTTGTCATGTTTATTTTCTTCTCCTTTTCTTCAGAGCTGCCAAATATTTTTGGTGACTGACTTTGGCGAAGTTTCCCAGAGCATTTCAACAAAGTAAAGGTCAATAGGTATAAGCATGTTGCCCAGGTGGGAGAAACTAGAGGTGGTATGGATATTATCTATCAATGGTTTGTGAAATGCTTCTTTTATCTATACCTTCCAACCACACCTTCTATTATAAATAAATGTTATACTAAGTTTGTGACAAATTAACCCATCACTTACATTTTGGCTAGGAATGACATGCCTCAGTGCATTCCATTTTAAGTACATATTGTGGGCTATTTCCATCCAAAGTAATACTTTTGCCAAGTTACATATATATAGATCTTTTTTTTTTTTAGAAAGGGTTGGCAGAATTGCTCTCTTTTTAGTAGCAGAAGAGAGTTTGCAGATTTACTATTAGTTGATAAAGTGGGCTAAGGTTAGATTTTCCCAGAGACCCTTTCAAGTCACAAAACGCCACTTCTATGAATATCCTTATTTCTTTACTTTCATTTCTCACAGTTACTTCTTGGCTTCCTAACCAGGCATGCAGTGTGAAAAGATGTACGGCATTTCATGAGAAATGCCAAATGCGGACAATATCAAGAACTACCTTGATATCAGAATGTGGATTAGTACTTAAGGAAGCTAGATTCAAAGAAATAAAGTGATCCAGTCTTGTGAACCAAAAATGTGTGGCTTTTTAAATTCCAATTTTAGGCTAAATCAAGGGTAACAGCGATTAGTCTCAAGTACCCTTGAAGGGTTGGAAGATCTCTTATCTCTGTCACTGCTTCCAGGCCCCATTGTGTTCCTCTCATTTTAGGGGGTCCAAGCACCCCAGTTCCATATAACCACTTAACAGTCACATTAGCTTTTACTGAGGAGCATTTACCTCAATAGCATACAAAGAACAAAACTATAAACATCCCCCTCCCAATAGCAGGGGGGCATAATCTCCCTCACACATGACCTCCTTCCCTGGATAGAGGAGAAAAATTACATTTACAACTAGCATTAGTCCCATCAAATTCCAAGTCCAAACCCACCAGAGCTTTTTCTCTGGGAGATTTGCCTAGAATTTGGCCTAGAATCCTAGGCTCCAAGGTTTCCGTGGGTCCAGCTCCTGAATCCAAGACTACACTCCCTTTTCGCCTAGAACTGAAAAGATCAAAATCTCAAGCCTGTTTCTTGAACCACAGGGCCTAACGGGAAGAAGGTGGCCTTCCTATAACCAGTTTAATACATGGTGGTCCTGCTGTGAGTGACTGAATCACTCACTCAAGGACACTGCCAGAAAAAGAAAGCGACTGTGCCTTCAGTGACTTTGAGAGAGTCATTCAATTTAGAGGCAGTTAGATGATGGAGCTGATAGATCACAGGACCTGGAATCAGGAAGACCTGAGTTGAAATCCATCCTCAGGCACTTGCTAATGGTGTGACCCTGGGCAAGTCACTTAACCTCTGCTGGCCTCAGTTTCCACATCTGTAAAATGAGGATAATAATAGTACTGACCTCCTAGTGATGTTGTGAGGATAAAATGAAATAACATTTGTAAAGCGCTTTGCAAGCCATGAAGTAGTAAATAAATGTTCCCTAAGCTTTAAGATGTACCTTAAATTTTCCCTCTTTGATAAGACTTTCCTTTTTTCAATGATTCCTCCCTTCTAAAATTTTATAAGCTGTAAGTAATGTGATGTAGTATAAGGAGCACTGTGTTTGGACTTAGGGTTTGAAATCCTCTTCTATGGGTTGCTTCTCCTTCAGAGACTTGCTGATTATTCCTACCCCTGGGGTTCTACCGGTAATCTTGAAAGGGAAGCTTTCTGGTAGGTTTCACAAGCCCCCAGTAGTGTGCTCCCCATCATCAATAAACAAGTTGAACTTCACTAGCATTGAGAAAAGGTATTTACTGAGAAGGTATAGTAGGAACAATTTATTTAAATTTAATTGATTAAACATTTATTAAGTATCTGCTATGTGATAGGCATTGTGTTAATGATAGGGATACAAAAAGGGACAAAAGACAGTCCCTAACCTCTTAGAGCTTACAGTCTAAAGGGGGAGACAACATGCAAACAAATATATAAAAACAAGCTACATACAGAATTAGTAGAGGGAAGGCACTGGAATTAAGAAGGGTTGGAGAAGGCTTCTGGTGGACATGAGATTTTAGTTGAGACATAAAGGAATCCAGGGAGGTCAGTAGTCAGACCAGAAGAGGGATAGCATTCCAGGCATGTGGGATAACCAGAAAGTATGCCCAAAGCTGAAGTCTCTTGTTCACGGAACATCCAGGAGACCAGTGTCACTGGGTTGAAGAGTAGGTGGGAGAGTAAGGGATAAGAAGACTGGAAAGGTAGGAGGGGGCTAGGTTATACAGCGCTCTGAAAGCCCAAAAGAGCATTTTATATATGCTTGTGGAGGCAATAGGAAGCTGCTGGAGTTTACTGAGTGAGGGGGAAGGAAGTGACATGATTAGACTTGTGTTTTAGAAAAATCTCTTCAGTGGCTGAGTGGAGAATGGACTGGAGTGGGGAGAGATTAGAGGCAAGCGGACCCACCAGCAGGCTACTGCAGCATTTGAAATGTGAGGTGAAAGGAGCCTGCATTGGTTTCAGTGTCAGAGGAGGGTGGGGGATGTATTTGGGAGATGTCGCAAAGGTGAAATCAACAGGCCTTGGCAAAAGTTTGGGAGATAGCAAACACACTCCAAGATGGCCCCTGGGCTTTGAACCTAGGGCCTGGGAAGATGGTATTGCCATCCACAGTCATACAATAATAACAACTGGCACAAATCCTCCTCCTCCTCCTCTTCTCTTCCTCTTCCTCTTCCACCACAACTACAGGTTCATTCTTTCTTTTCACACTCTTTCTTCTCCTGGGGGGAAGAGTAGACTCAAACCTGAAGTACATGTAAAGAACACATGTGGCTAAGGATAACATCCTGACCCCCGGCTCTGGAAGGTATTTTCTCCCTTCATGGAGACCTCACGCAAGTCCCTCTAAGTGTAGCCCACGGCAGTGCTCTGAGCATTAGTGCTGTTCTAGAGGCCATAATTAGCAATCCATTCCATCACAAAGGGTCACAATCCTTTAAGCTTCTGCCATCCTCCAGGTACCATTTCCACATCTGTCTGTAGGTGCTTTCTCTGTCATTGGCCTAGAAAACTCTCAACCCAATGATTCTACGAACAACTCCAGGCACCAGTGGGATCCTGCACAGAACTTATGGATCTCATCATGTCACCTGGCAATTCCCATCTTGGAATACTAATTAGCCTATGACAGGGAAAAGATAAACACAAAAGAAATATAAGTACCATGTGTTCACAGACACGTGGTGGGCAAGTGGGAGATAGGGAAGCCATACTTGGTGCTGTTTCCACCACCGTCACCTCTGCTCATCTTCAGGTCAAAATAACTTTCTTCACTTGAAGTAACCAAGGAAAAAAGACTGAGAGATGGATAGGTCCTACTTTTGTATGCACTCTGTTCTGGCTCAGTAACTTATGAGTCATCGGTCCGTCTGGTTCTGCAGCCAATTAGAAGACTTTGTCATCACACAGCATCAGCCCTTCAGCCAGTCATGGCTACAGACTTGCTCCTCCTATATTTCCACATGATTGCTCGACCTGAAACCGGCAAGGAATATCTGTGAATGCTTCAAGGATGGTCCCCTCCCCATTCCCACCCTCGATAGGCCAGCTCAACTGTAAATACTCACTACCGCCTTTCCTTCTCATAATGAAACATTCTTGTTATTTTTGTAGTTGCCACAGGAGAATTTTGAGTCATGCATAAAATAATAAAATGTTAGAGTAAACATTTGCATTCTTATATAAACATTGTTTTTAGGTAGAAAATACTCTTTAAAAATCTTCTTGTTAACCTAGTTAGTCTATAGGGAATACTTTCTGTTATTTGAGTTTTTCCAGATTTTTGTGGTAAATCTTAAGAACTTCAAAGAAGTTCACTGTAGGAGGCAATGTCCACACTGATGGGATCATAGGGATCCATTGGGAAACATTACTTTAGTTTTATTTGTGGTTTGACTGATTATTTGTAAGAGCATGGAAATAAAGAAGACGTAACTAGTTTGATTTTTACTCATTCGTTGAATTCATTCCACAAACATGCACTCAAACAACAAATATTAATCCCCTACTTTGTGCAGAGGGCTTTGCTAGGTTCTAGGGCACACAAAGAGTTTGGTATCATAGATATAGAGTGGAAAGGGACCCTACAGGTCATCTATAGATTATCCAGTCAAGCATATCCATTTACAGATGAGAGAACCGAGATCATTGAGAGATCATAGAATCATTCATTTAAGGCCAGAAGATACTTCTCGCCCAATTCCCTCATTTTACAGGTGAGTAAACTGAGGCACAGAGATGATAAGTGACTTGTCCAAGGTCTTGCAGATATTAAGCATCAAAACAGGATTTAAACCTCCAGAGTCAATGCTCCTTCTGTTGTTACCACACTGAGAGGTTAAGTAATTGTCTAATGTCACACAGGTAGTTAAGTAACAAAGCAAGGATTTGAACTCTTATCCTCCAGCACCAAATCCAGCACTCTGACCATGGCATCATACATCATTGTGTCCTTGTGAGGCTTTTCAGTGAAATTACTAGCACCACCATTCTTGGCTTCTACCAATGTACCACAAACGTGTCTGTTCTCTGCCACATGATCACAAGATGGTAGAGGGAAAGAGTGTTTAAAAGACCATCAGTGATGGTGGGGAATTCCAATTGCTTATACACCCTATGAAACCTAACAGGTTGTCCCTATTTAGCAAGACTAAATAGGAGTGAGGTTGGACAGAAGTATTAGAATGTCTTCTCTGAAAGCGGACTCAGAGAAATTTCAGACCCTAAATACTGGGTGAGCTCTCCCATTAATCATCTACAGGGGGTCCACCCAACATACTCGAACCTTCTTCTGGATCTTTTGAAATTGGGTGGCTACCAATGGAGCACATGGCTGTCTATCAATTGTCTCACATCTTGCCTCATGACCAACTTATCTTCTTTTCAGATCAGACATCTGCTCCAATTTCATCTTTGATAATGCTTCTTTAGGGTAATTCTCAGTTGGCAGGGGAGTATGGCCGATTTTCATCTACCATGCACCTCTTCCTTATCCTTGTTTGACCCTCAACTTTAATTCTCCAGATGCTGTGATATTCCATGACCCGCAGCTATGTGACATCACTTGAAGAATATTATTTTAAAAGATAGGCTTTTGTTTCAGGAAAAATCTTTGAATTAAAAACCCCACATAGATATGATAGGGGGGAATGTCCAGAGGTGTGAAAAATTATATCATATATATCAGATTTTTCCTATTGCTGATTTTTTTCTTTTTCTTTTTCATCAAAAAAAGATGATGGGTGAGGACGGGATTGGGAGTGGGGGTATGGTTCCAGGGATCAGACGTTGAGTGCCCGTCCCACATATAGAATATCTCCTACAGGGATGTGCTTCAATCCCTATCATCTCTGCACGGTCCCCTCTATGTGTACAGAGCCTAAGTTATCACCCAGGACCTAATAAATATTTAATTCTTCCTCAGACACAGAATCTCGGAACTATTAGAGATATTGACCCTCTGGGAGTGAGAGACAGTGAGTCTTCACTCATTCTATACTCAGTCATCATAGGACCCTAGAAGGTATGGATCCTTACCAACTGGCCTCTATGTATGGTAGGCATATTCCCAGATTCATCCCTATTCCGGTACTTCAAGATCAACAAAAGTGGAGGCAAAAATTGTCCCCCCTCTTTTCTTTCCCCATACTTTTGTACCTATTCACCTCAACCCTATTCCATCCACAGGCTCATTAATTTCAGCCTACCCATTTGCCTGCACACTCTGGAATTCTCACTTTTATTGTTAAGAAACTCTCTTCTGTCTTAGGGCTCTTCACTTCTTCACATTTTTTTAACTTAGCAGAAAGATGGTTTTCCTTCACTGGATGATCCTCTTCCTCCTGGCTATTAACTATGGGTATCCCCCCAAGACTAAGCTATTCAGCCTTTCTCTAAGTGATCTCATTAGCTCCCATGTGTTCAATTATCCTCTCTATGCACATGACTCCCAATCTATAAATCTACAAATATAAACCCCAGTCTTTAGAGGCCCACATCACCAAATGCATAGCAGGCATTTCTCCTTGTGCGTCTGTCCCAAAGGCATCTTAAAGTCAACATGTCCAAAACAGAACTCATTGTTTCTCCTTCCCCTCCCCCTTAAGCTACCACTTTTTTCTAACTTCTCTCTCTTTTTTTTTAAGGCAATTGGGGTTAAGTGACTTGCCCAGGGTCACACATAACTCTCTATTTCTGTAAACAGTAACATAGTATCATGGAGTTAAAGCTGAAAGGGACCTTAAAGGTTGTATCCCAAACCCTCATTTTCTTTCTTTCTTTTTTTAACGTGTGGGTTCTTATTATTTCCTTTTCTTGTTTGTTTTTGTTAGCCAATGGGGTTAAGTGACTTGCCCAGGGTCACATAGCTAGTAAGTGTTATGTGTCTGAGGCCAGATTTGATTAAACTCAGATCCTCCTCACTCCAAGGCTGGAGCTCTATCCATTGTGCTACCCAGCTGCCTCTTAAACCCTCATTTTATAGATGAGGAAACTAAGACACAGGGAGGTTAAGAATATATAGATATGTGTGTGCGTATGTGTGTGTGTGTATGCGTGTGTGTATGCATATATATGTGTGTGTTTATGTGTACACACACACACACACACACACACACACACACACACATATATACATACATAGTCAAATAGCAAGTAAGCTATCTGAGGCAGGATCTGAATCCAGGTTTTTCTAACTACAAGTCCAATGCCCCCATCCACAATGCATGCTGTCTCCTTCCTCTTCTAATCACCCAGGAGCCCAACCTCAGTACTATCCTCCACAAGTCATTCTTTCTTAGTCTGCATATCCAATCAGATGTCAAATCTCATCAATTCTACATATACAACATCATTCACATCACAACCACTACCTTCTTTCAGGTCTTCTTCAGTTCTTACGTGGACTATTGCAATAGCCTCCTAATCGGTCCCCCTGCCTCCATCCTCTGCCTTCTCCAGTCCATACTCCACACTGACGCCAGAGATATTCCCAAAGCCCAGTTCCGAGAATGCTATTCTAACCCTAACCCTAACCCTAACCCTGCTCAAAAAGCACCAGTAGCTCCCTCTTGCCTATAGGATAAAGTAAAACTCCTCTGGCTTTTAAAATCATTCACAATCTGGCTTTAATCGACCTTCCACACTCATTATCCAAACTCTCCTTCCCTCACTCTAGGTTCCTGCTAAATTGGACTCCTTGGTGTTTGGTGCACAGGACCTTTGGGTTTGCACAGGCTGCCCCCCCAGGCTGGGATTGCACACTGCCTCCTCACCCCTCTCTTTTAGGATCTCCAGCTTCCTTCAAGCTTCTGTTCAAGCGACAATTCCTGAACTGGGCTCCATCCTGATCCCCGCCCCCCATCCCTACGATTAGCGTCTTCCTGCGGGACGTTATTTTATATTTTCTTACATATTTATATTTCCTTATCTATGTACATGTTGCATCTCTTCAATTGAATGTAAGCTCCTTGAATTCAGAGACTGTTTCATTTTTGTCTTTGCTCCTCCAGTCCCTCTTGAAGGGCCTGGCACACAGTAGTTGCTCAGGGCTTCTTGAATGAATGAATGGCATCACGATTACGTCATTTTAACTCATATCTACAGATGGCTTTAAGGTCAGCAAAGTGCTTTTCTCCCAGCAGCTCTGTGAGATACAGAGTACAAGTGCTTTTATTTCCATTTTACAAGTTAGGAAATTCAGAGTTTAAGTGATGCCGAGGTCTTCTGACTCCAAGTGCCCCTGCAACACGTCAAAATGTCCAAATGCTAAATTGTTTGGGCATTAGCTACACGTATTCACACATATAGACACATATTGCTCTTTGGCTAGACATTCAGCAGCACTGAACAAATATTCTTATGGGAGCTGGGAAATAAATTAGTAATCCAGACAAAGGGAGGAATTACTGACTTGAATACAATACCGAGAGAGACCACCAAGCCTGCCTCTGATCTCTACCAGCTGTGTTCCCTCAGGCTCCTCATTTCTAAAACTAAAATAGTAATACTTGTAGTATCCGACTCACAGGGCTGTCCTGAGACTCTAAGGATACAGCCAATAAAGAAGAGTTTATTAAGTACCTACTATGTGTTAGCTCTGCAATAGTCAGCGCACTCAAAAGTGAAACAGTATTTGCTCTCTGGGAGCTTACATTCCAGTTCTACTGGGGGAGACTATTGTTGCTATCTACCGATAAATCAACAGAGGAGATTTCTATTTTGCACCTTTAAAGGTTCCATACTCTGATGAATCTGTGACCTTATTCCCTCCAAGAATGCATGTCAATCGTGTGTGCGTTAACAGAAAAGTAAAGTTTATATCTATATGTAAATATAAGGAGAGGGACTAGCATGTTATTTCATGGATAAGGTAAGGTAAGGTAATTCCCTCTGCTGTTTCAGGTTAGCACCTTTATGGAACTTACAACACTGAGAAACATCTCAAAACCCAGGAGTGATCCCTCCACTCCTCACTCTCACCTCTTCATATTCAATATTTTGCTAAGGCCTGTGGATCTCACTCTTGCAATACTTCTCAAATATTCTTTTCTATTCTCAGTGACACGGCTCTGGTGCGGTTCCTCATCACCTCCTGCCTGGACTCTTACGGCAGCCTGCTTGGGGGTCTGCCTGCATTCAGTCTCTCTCCATTCCAATTCAGCCACAAAGTGATTTTCCCGAAGCACAGGTCCCAGGATGTTCACCCCCTCTATTCAGTAAACTTTAGTGTGTCCTTTTCACCTCCAGAATCAAATACAAAATCTTGTCTGACATTCAAAGCCCTTCATAATTAACCCCTTCTTCCCGGAAGAAAAAGCCTTTCCAGCTTTCTTCTTCTTTCTTTTTTGGTGAGGCAATGGGGATTAAATGACTTACCCAGGGTCACACAGCTAGTGTCAAGGGCCAGAGATCCAATTTGAACTCAGGCTCTCCTGCCTCCGGGGCCAGTGCTCTATCCACTGAACCACCTAGCTGCCCCATTTTCTGTCCTCTTACAATTTACATCTTCCCACCACTTACTCTTCTCTTCATCCAGTGACACTGTTGCAGAATGAGATACTCTTATCTCCTCTGGCATTTTCTCTGGCTGTCCCCCATCTTGGAATGTCCTCCCTCTTCATCTCTGCCTACTGGCTGCCCTGGCTTACCTTAAGTCCCAACTTAGACCCTATCTTCCCATCTTCTACCCAACGTCTCAATTCTTGTTCCCTCCCTCTTTTATTTCTCACTTATCCTGCATATAGCTTGTTAGCACGTATTTGTTTGTTTCCCCCATTGAACTCCTAGAGGGCGAGGGCTTTTTTTGCTTCTCTGTATTTCCAGCGCTTTGCACGGTGCCTGGCACTTGGTGAATGATTAATAAATGTTTATTGACCGAAAATAAAGCGATTTGCCTGGGGGTCAAAGATCGGATTTGACGCTGGCCAGGTCTTCCCCGATTTGAGGCCAACTCTATCCCCTCACTACTTCTCATACCTAGGGAGTGTGTGTATTTGTAATATATCTAATATATTTTACATACCTGATGGGAAGCCCTTTCCAAGCTATGTAGTGTGATACAATCGCCAGCGATTGTTATTCTCCCAGACTTCTTCACTCCTGGGGGAGAGGGGGAGCAGATCTGTCACCGTTTCTCCACCTAAAGTATGGGATTACTGGCATTTTACTTCATTGAAAGGATGCTGATTGCAACCAGGTTCTATGAGCACCCAGGAATCTCCTGTACCATAGAAGGTACGTATGATTGGGGAAATCTTAGCCATCGGCATTTCCATTTTTAGTAAAAATCTAATTGCCAATTCGATTACTTTATAAATACAACACATACAGAGAAAATACAAAGACAAACAGAGCTGAGGAGGAAAAAGAAGACACCTAGATCTTTGCGATGAGCAATTCTGGTTTCAGAGGTAGGAAGGCTGCGCTTCAAATCCCCCTTACAACCTTTCCTCTCCTGGAAGGGTTTTTTCTAGCGCAGCTCTCTTCCTCTGCCCATTTGCCGGGGTAGCCTTCCTGGTACTGGAGACACACTTCCCTATCCCTGGAGGGGAGTGGCCCCGGGAGCCAGCAGTGCCGAGGACTTCCCCCCTGGGCCGGGACGTGGGAGGAGCCGCGGGAGAAAGTGGAGGCGGAAGTGCCCGCTAGGAGACTCGCTCACACGCCCTGGGAGTCAGTCACTTGTCAGCACTGACCCGCGCCTGAGACAGCACAGCTCCTGCTCTCTAGGTGAGTGACCGAGTCGCGGGCTCTGGAGGAAGCGGCTGGGGGCCCTCTGCCCGGTGCGGGAGCGGAGCTACCTGGAGGACAAGCGAATGAATAGCCCTGGAGGTGGAGGAGGAAAGAGAACAGGGAGCACGGTGGAGGAGGAGGAGGAGGAGGAGGAGGAGGAGGAGGAGAGGAGCGAGCGGTGGACGTCCCGCCGCAGTGTGCGATCCTCAGGTGCTCAGCCCCGCTCCGGCTCCAGGTTTCGGCGCAAGGAGGGAGCACGGTGCTCTCCAGAGCGCGTTGTGCCGGAGCTGGCTCTGGATAGAGCGCAGGGAGCCCTGCGGGGCGAGGGGCCGACCCCCGGCCCTGGGGGAGCGGGGCGATGGCGCGATCCCTGGGAGGAGGCGTCCCCGGGTCCCGGGGGCGGAGGGGCCACCGGGGGGAAAAGAGGGAGGGGCCGGCGGCTACTGCTTGGGGAGGCTCGGTGGGAGCCTGCTGGGGAGCGGGAGCGCGGGCGGACGGGCGGGCTACGGCGGCGGCACCTTAGCCTAGCCCAGCCCAGCCCTGCCCAGCCTTCCCGGAGCGGAAAGAACCTCCGGGCAAAGCCCCAGAAGCCTCCCCCGCGCGGCTCGGCCCGCCGGTCAGCCTGTCAGCCAGCCCGCAGGGATTGGCTTCTGGGCACTGTCTTCATTTAAACTTTTTGCTGGTTACTTTAGTTGGTATTCCTCTTCGGCGGGTGGGGTTGGGGGGTTGTTTATTTCCTTTCCTTTGAAATACACATGCACATAAATCTCCTGTCTCCAAGAATTGCTTTTCTTTTGCAAAAGCTAAATATTTACAATTGTGTAACCTGTTTGTGGCCGATTGCAGTTGAACCAGCAATAAATTAAAGCCTCATTAATTACTTTTTAAAATACAAGCCAGTAAATAAGCTCCTCGAGGTCAGAGGCGTTCAGTTTTGTGTCTATTCCCAGGATCAGACACACTGCCTAGCATTTAATAAATGCTTTTTGCACTAGCCAGAGCTACAAATACTTTTTTAAAAAGTATTAGATATTTCTTTTTAAGGCTATGTCTTTGACAGCAAGTGGGAAAAAAAATAAAAGGGAAAAGACTGGGAAGAAATAAGTACTCAGGAAACAAAATCATAGCTAAACTGGGTTGGGCAGTTTTAGGGTGTGATCGCTCGATCTGATCCTTGGGTTCAGGCTTCCTGACTTTCAAGGCGTCTGAAATCAGCCTGCTCAGAGAGAGCCAGCTCGGGAGCCTTATTTGGCCAACAGGGCGAAGCGGGATCCTGGCCGACCTCTTTCATCCTGTGCCTGTTGCTTTTAGCCCTTCAGCTGTAACCTCCCGTGTTCTTAACTCTCAACCTGTCCTAGGAGATGTTGTGGTAGAGCAGAGCGTTTTTCTGTTTAGGTTGTTGCTTATTTTCATTACCTTCTGGTGTTCAGTGAGAGGCTTTTTTTTTTCCTTCTTAAAAGACAGCTGGAATTCTGGAAGTGTGGGGGATAGATACTAAGCTTCCTGTGTATGTATTGTTCCTTACCGGCTCCGACCACTTTGCAGATTGTTTTGACTTCCCAAAGAAGGGAACCCAGATACCTACAAAAATCCAACATTTTTTACATTTTTAAATTTAATTTCCTGCCTGCTTGGTATGTTAAGTTTGGGGGGAGCTGTCATGTAATGGTTTTCATAATACCCTGAGAAATGCCAATAAAAATAATAAGACTTGAATATCTTTTAAAGTGAGCAAAAATATAGAGGTAAATACAGAAAATGAAGTACAAGGCATGTCTTCTTTGACATTGCTGGTACAAAATGTTTAATAATGAAAGAATAAAAGAAAACCTCAAATTAACTAATTGAGCACATTTATGTTCACATTACACGAGTTTTCGTGCAAAGAATATTAGAGGTAGCAGGAAGCTGAACTAATTGAATCTATTTGTACCTATAAAAACAGGGTCAGTCTTTTAAGTGGTGAATCACTGCAAAAAATTCCTTCAGAAAGGGGAAAACACAAAGTTATATGTCACTGCTTACTGCTTTTTGCATTCGGGTAATATTCTCATATGTTCGTGGCAATTCTCCCAGTTATACAGGGAGGCTGCTCTTTAACCATTTAGACATAATTCTGTATTACTTACCTGGGAAAAAAAAGTAATCTAGGATCCTGTAATCAGTAACCTAGTTTCATCTACTCAACTGGGCTGGGCATCTTCCAAGATTTCCTTGTATTTTCTGCTCACTTTTCCTTTTTGGAAAGCAGAAACCAGTTTGAAGTCAGCAGGCAGTTTTGGGTTTTAGGACACTCAGTGATTCATATATGTAACTGTGATTATGAATATGATATCATGGGTACAGAAATTTAGATCTCTTGAGGTCCTGGGAAAATATTTTAGAAGTGGGTGTCGGAGGGGGAAATTGATGTAGACTTTGACTATATGTGTGTGTATATATATATCTATATATCTATAGATATATAGATATATATATGTATATATATTTCCCCTCTCATTTTTAAAAGTCTCAAAATTTAAAAAAGTCTCAGATTTTAAAAAATCAATGTGGCTTAATCCTTTCCCCTACTCCCAAGTAATCATATAAATGTTCAGACTTTGTTTTTGTAGAATAAAATGCAGCATTGAGCTAATAGTCATTAAAATAGGGATACACTTGAAAGCATATTATCTTTTGGTTATGATTCTCCCTGTAATTTTCTCTATTGAGCATCTGGAATCTTACCTGCAATGTTTTATAGTAATCATAGGATCATGGAACTGGCAAGGTCTTCAAGGTCATCAAGTGTAACCCCTCATCTTACTTTTTTGGGGGGAGGGGCAAAGCAATCTGGGTAAAATGACTTGCCCAGAATCACACAGCTAGTAAGTGTCAAGTGTCTGAGGCCAGATTTGAACTCAGGTCTTCCTGACTGTAGGGCCAGAGCTCTATCCACTATGCCACCTAGCTGCCCCCCTCCACATTTTACAGATGAGGAAACTGAGACCTAAAGGAGTTAAGTGACTTGTCCACTTTATGCACAGAGTAGTAATTAGCATTGTATTTGAAGCTTCTAGACTTTTGGTAAATGGATTGCTCTCTTTACCTTTCCAAGGGCTTGCTCTCCCTCTTACTTTCTCTCTTCCCTCTCCCCTCCAAGACCCTGACCAAAATGCCACTGTAGCACAGCATTGCCTATTTGAGGGGTAAATTGATGTAGACTTTGACAGCCAGCAAAATTGTGAAAACAATAGATTGCATCATAGAAGTGTGTTCATTGAATTTTTTTCAATAGAAAGTAATTTGAAAGAGTTTAATATTTGAAAAAGAGGGGAACTGAATCCCTGAGATTTACAGGCTGTAGCACCCCTTACATTTGTTACAGGGGAACTTAGAATTTGACTGATGTCTAACTGAAGACCTCTTGGCAACTGTAGTCAAAAGAATGAGGTGGGTGTGTGTTAGGAGATCATTTGAAATTAAGTCTGAAATAGAATCTTGCTCTTTTTGTATATGCATTAAAAGAAGACTGCAAAACACTTTCAGTTACAATTTTGTAAAAGGAGCCACATGGAATAAAATTGGATTGCAGCAAGTTGTAAAAATGTTCATGTCTAGAAATATCTTCTGGAGTGGAATTTTCATATTATGGAAACTGGCAGACCTGTAGTAATTACATATAAACTCTTGGATTCTGCTTCTTAGATGGAAACTTATGAGAGTTTAATATAGCTCACATTTCATTCACACCCACACACACTCACACACACACACTCAAACATTATTATGTTGTTTTTAAATAGACTAAAAGATGACTAGGTTTTTCAGTAAGCTGTTTAATTAGTTCTTTAATTATCCTTCACAGGTGCTTTTATTACCTGAAAGTAGACTTTGAACCACAAAAACCATGAGCAACTACAGTGTATCCTTGGTTGGCCCAGCTCCTTGGGGCTTTCGACTTCAAGGTGGAAAGGACTTCAACATGCCTTTGACCATCTCTAGTGTAAGCATATTTTTACAGCTTTTAAACAGATGGTAATTGCATAATGTGGTACTTAATTGGTAGAGAGAAGTCTCTCTGTAAATGAAACCATTTATTGAACATACCCCCCCCATTCATACTGTAGGTTTGTCTCTTGTGACGTGGACATACAGCAAGTTATTAGCTATCCAGAAAGAATGAGGAGGATAAAGAAGTACACAGATCTTACCAAGCCACCATTTTTAGTGGTCAACTTCAATTTTTGTCCCTACAGATCTCACCTGAGGTGAAAGTGCTTCTTTACACAACAGGAAAGATACTGTGCTAAAAACTGAGTTCTGCCCCCAACTTTGTCACTAATTAGTTGTATGACTTTAATGAGTTAGTCTTTGTCCCTCAGTTTCCTCATCTGTAAAATGAGAAATTGGTTGAAGGAGATGTTTTATGAGGTCCCTTTCTGCTCTTAAAATTCCATGTTGGTCACTTGGGGAATCATAGAATTTTGGAGCTGGAAAGGGACCCTATAAAGTCTGACCTTTCTCATTTTATAGATGGGGAGACAGTAGCTCATTTCACTGTAGTGTACGTCCTCTGCTCCTGGTGGAAATGATGGTAAACAGTGAACTGACCAGAACTCAAACACTCTTCTGAGAATTGGCTTCCTCTTATAATATAGATGTATTTTTTAATGTATTTTGGTTACATATTTTTGAGAGAAGATTCCATTCTAATGTTTTAGTACATACTGTGTTTTGATCCATTGCTACTCACACTATATAAGTTGTATCCTATACTGTTAGTTGATCTGGCAAGTTGTACAGCTTAATTGATTTTTATAGTTTAAGAATAGGTTTATATCCTCCATTCATTCAATTTTTTTTTTGGATGCAATCAGGGTTAAGTGACTTTCCCAGGGCCACACAGCTAATAAGTGTCTGAGATGAGATGTGAGCTCAGATCCTCCTGACTAGCTGCTCCTCATTCATCCATTTTTCAAAAAGACATAAAAACCATTTTAAGAATAGAAAGGAATAGAAAGAAGAATGGATTTGTAAAGGACTTGAGTTTGAATCCCCCCTCCCAGTTCCCACAACCAGCTGTGTGACCTTGGACAATTCACTTGACTTGTTTGAGTCAATTTCTTTCATTAATAAAATGGCCATAATATCTCTACTACTTACTTTACCCAGTATAAACTATTAAATGTGATGTATTACTGTTTGTTTTGGTGAAAGAGCTAAATAAATCATGTTTGTATTTTTAATCAGTCTTGTCCCTTTTCCCTTCTTCATGAAGTGTTCCCAGGGAGATCAAATTGGACCTCACCTTTTCAGTTTAAATCCCTTTCAAAGTGGGATGAAATTGTGGTCATAAAGTATCCATGTGGAAATTCTTTGTTAATGATTTTTGCTTGTTTTCAGTATAGTAGCTTTTCTGTTATTGAATAGTTTTGGTGAGTAAAGTAAGGATACTTGAAGATGATGTCTTGTTTTTGGAAGTATTATTCTGTATTAAACACTGCACACAGTTGCTTTCATTTGTTGCTGTGATTAAGGAACTTCCTTGTTTGTGGACACTCCACTATAGTTGGTTTCATCAATAAACAAGGTGATTGGGTTTTGTTTTGATCTGTTAATAAGAGGAAATGTCTGTATAACATGTTGGTAGGTTGTTTTCTTGTTTGTTTTATTTTTAATGTTTTTCAGCCTCCTGGGCTGATAATTTTAAAAGCCCCTTATTGCGATCCTGATACAACAGAACATTGTGTCCATATGTGGGTTCCCCACCCCTCTTCTCTCCTGGCAAATTAGAAATGGCTTTCCTTTTGTGGCCAGAGTTCTAATTAAAGGTTTTCGAACATGCTGATTAAAAGAGAATATGGCAACAAAGCTGCTGAGTTATTTCTGTTCTGTTACAAAAGTCTCTGCAATCTCTTGTGACCTTCTCCAGCATTGTGCATTGGGGCATGCAGTTCATTTTGGAATTGGGGGGAGGGGAGGGGAGAACGGAGGGAAGCAGAGAGTGGGGGTTCTGCTGTGCTGGGTTGTGACAGCACTTGTAATGATTTTTAACCCTTTGTGGTTTAATTTAAATATGACCCGTGTTACTGGCCAGTAAAAATAATGTATTGATTTATCTAACAACTTTATGAATGTGTCACAAAATTTGTATGTTATGTTGCGTTACTTTTGTATATTGTTACCTTATGGTGTTTGTGACGCATCAGTCTATTAAATATTTTACTCCTTTATATTCAAATTCATTTTTATATTCTATTTTAATAGATCAGTTGTGCCATATTAGTATGAAAAATTTCAGTGAGCACCAAATTTCCCAATTCCCAGTATCATGATATGATCTAAAATTAAAACTATCCCTCAATCCACTCAATTCAAACTCAGTTTAAATGAAAATGAACAAGAAATTATTTAGAGGCCTTGATACTTAGAGTCGACCTATTTGTAGGAAATGTAGTAATTTTTTATTATTCCTGTTTTGTTAAATCCAAACCCACGTAGTTCTCTTTCACAAAAAAGACTGTGTGCTTGTCAGTCAAATCCTGATACATGAGACTTCACAAACTTTTTTGTTGCACTAGAATTTTATTGTAGCATTTAAATGTTCAATTTTTTAGGCTTTGTAAACATTTTTCTTTTATGGAGATTTGGTTGTAGCAGTATCTGCATCTTAAACTATGTCTGTTGTAAAATAGTGACATTCGATATGACTTGAGACATTTTTCCCTGGTATGTAACTTTTATGTGTCATTTCTTGAATTCATTCTTAAGGTAAGAATGGGAAGCTCTGCAGACTTTTTCTAATGAGCCCTCGGATTACTATAACAGCACGATCAAATGTTATTGTCTCCAATTTCCCATCCTTCAAATGATTGCTTGGCCGCAGGAACTTGAGGTCTGTCTTTTTATGACCCCCATAGTCTTGGAATTGCCCTAAAGCCATGGAATGTGGAGATGGGTTTCATTGTAGTCGAGTAAGGCTTATGCTCTTTGCCAACATATTTTATAAGGAGAACTAGAAGACTAGTTGCAAAATCCAAAGCCACATTTTGGGCATAATTTGTTATTCCACATGATGAAATTACCAGAAGTATTATACATTTGTGTATACTTACTTGCTAAAATGCAGTATACTAAGGTTGAAATATTGTGATTTGGGATTTTTTTATGATCCTGTTATGCTAGATACTTCTAGACTACCATTCTTTGGATTTATTAAAGGAAACTTTCCTGATTCTTGATCAATTTTATAAGAGCCAGAGCAGGTTTTACATTCTGAAGTCAAACTGACTGATTCTGTAGTCCATAAGGAGAATGTCCAGTCATAAACCGAGGCCCTCCTCTGCAGGGTAAATTGTGCAAGAGGTGAAAAGGTACTTTTTATGCCAAGTTTTTCCCTTCTCTCTTTTCTTTGCCCCCTTACAATACGCAGTTACTCTCAAGTGTATTTCTCTTTATCTTTTTTTTTTTAAGGCAGTTGGGGTTAAGTGACTTGCCCAGGGTCACACAGCTAGTAAATGACAAGTGTTTGGTCTGAGGCCAGTTTTGAACTCAGGTCTTCCTGACTTCAGGGCTGATGCTCTATTCACTGCGCCACTTAGCTTCCCCATCTCAGTGTGTTTCTTAGGATCACATAGCTGTGTGTTAGTTCATTACAAAGTGAGCATATTACTGTGGACTCATTCATTCAGCAGATAGTATTGGCCATCTCCTATGTGCACTGCGAAATTGTGCATTTCCACTGGCTGTTCCCCAGGCCTGGAACGTTCTCCCCCTTCATCTTTGCCTTCTAAGGTCCATCTAAAATCTCACTTTCTACGAAAAAGCCTTTCCTGATACCCCTTAATGTCAGTAGGGCTCGCCCTGTCTTCATTATCTCCAACTGATTATCCATCTATCTAATTTGTACATAGTTCTTTGCATGCTGTCTCTTCCATTAAAGTCAGCTCCTTGAAAACAATGACTATCTTTGGTCTTTCTTTGTATTCCCAGCATATAGATTAATGCCTGGCACATAGTAGGTGTTCTATGAAGCTTGTTGACTGACTTAGAGCACTGGCCTAAGAACAGTGCTGATACAAGAAAGTATAAGATATGTGCTCTGACCTCTAGAAACTTGCAGTCTAGATGGTTGTGAAGTTTTGTAGACTGTTTAACTTTCCTCGTTTCTACCTCACATTTGCACATCTGCTTACTCTATTCCTTATGCTTGGAATGCCTTCCCTTAACCTGTTGAATTTCTACTTATCTTTTAAGCTCAATGCAAAAGCTGGGATTTATATAGTGCTTTAAGGCTTACAAAATGCTTTGTTCACATTTTCATTTGATCCTTACAGCAGTTCTCTGATGAAGTGGTATTATACCCATTTTATAGAAGAGGAAATTGAGGCTGAGAGAGGTTAAATGACTTGGTATGTGGTCACATGGCCAGAAAGAAGTAGAGTCAGGATTAAATCCCAAATATTTCCTCACTCCAAGTCATGGTGTTGGTGGTACACAGAAGAGGCAAAAGACAGTCTTGCCCTCAAGAAGCTCAGCATCCAGTGGGGGAGGCAACAGGCAAACAAATATATGTACAGACAAGCAATATACAAGATAAATAGGAATTACAAGAGGGAAGGCACTACAGTTTAGAGGGTTGGGAAAGTAGGAGGTGGCATCCATCCATTGCTCGTGTTTCTGTTGTCTGGGACCAAGATGGTAGATCAATGCTTTTTTTATCCATTCATTCCACATGAAAGCTCTTTAAATGCTTGAAGACTGTGAAAGTTTGTCTTCTCCAGGATAAATATCCCTCTTTCCTTCATTGGATCTCCCTGTGGTCCTTCACCCTGGTTGCACTCCTCTGGACATTCTTCTCCTTATCAACGTCCTTCTTAAAATGGAGTGCCCAGAATTGACCACGGTATTCATGAGGTGGTCTACACAGAGCAGAGAGCTTCATCTCCCCTAGGTCTGGGCACTGTCTCCATTAATGTAATTTAAGATCTCATTCCCTTTCTT